CATCATCATCATCATCATCATTATTATTATTATTATTATTATTATTATTATCATCATCATCATTATTATTATTATCATCCTTATTATTGCTATTATTATTATCATTATTATTATTGTTGTCATTATTATCATTACTTTTTTGTTTTTATCGTTCTTATTTATAATTATTGTTATCTTCACTATTATTGTTATTTTTCTCATTGCTCTTATTATTATTATTAGTTTAGTTAGTTGATCATTTTTACCAAGTTTTTTAATTGCCCTTTGTTCCTTGTTACTGTGATTGAATCCATTGCCACCAGGATTGTTAAGACAGCTAGGACGAACAGTGTGAGAGCCCAGTGATAGTGGTGTGATCTAAATTAACTGATATTATGATGCAGGTTCGGCATTATATGGCACAGTTCGAACAGAAGCGACAAACAGTGGAAGCATCTCGAAGCCAAAATAATGTTATGAGACGTTTAATGGCCGAAAAATCGTCTGGAAATATACCAGGAATTTACGGACGCCTTGTAAGTGCTTTTTTCTCATGCACAAACGATGTATACTGGCAATATATAAAACTTCATATAAACTTTTATATGTTGCCAGAACTGTTACGCTTTGCTAGCAGTGATTATATGTTAGTAATGCTGTAGCTGAGGACTTTCTTTACCAATCAATCGACGGAACTTTTTTTCTAATCGTCAATGGCCGAGTGTACCGTAATATTGCAGTACTGGGGAATCACTCTTATAAGGAGAAAAAGCCAGACGCCCGTGCAGTCGCACAATGCAACAACTTTTATTAGAATTGGCAAATGGTGCTCTAAAAGTAAATAAATCTGTTACAAAAAAAAAGGAACATAACCACATCGACCATGGTGCTGCGGGAAACCCATGAAAAGCCGGTCAAGAAGCCATCAAGAAGAAAAAAAAAAAACAGGGAAAGCAAGGTATATATTGCTTTGAAAGGCAGATACACAGTAGATGCCCTGCCAGGCTGAACCCTGGGGCACTACGACCGGTGGTGTAGTGGTAACACGTTGCGTTCGGACATGAAGAGGAGTGGGTTCGATTCCCTCCTGGTCCAGAACAATTTTCGAGAAACGGCTCCGTTCACGACAAATGGGCGATGTGAAAGCGGACACCTTTTCTAATTTCCGCTCCGCAGTAGTTAATAAAATGCTCTCACATGCTGGTGTAGAGGCGGCCATTATTTGGGTTTTAAGCTGTTTATTTTTAATTAATATATACTAAAACCCATGAACTTGTTCATTATGTATTGCCAACTCTTTGAAAGCTGCACCGTTCAGAAATAGTACTGGCATTTTTCTTAAGATGTTCTGTTAGAAGTGGTTTGGGTATCGTTTAGTGATCCGCTTTATCCACTTGCTGTTTCGTTTGCGCTACATTTCTTATATGGATGTTGTTTTCTTCTAGTTCTTGTGTGAAATTTCTGTACTTTTTTGTGCGATAGTGTGTTTTTGCAGGGTGATCTGGGGGCTATTGACGAGAAATACGATGTGGCGATTTCAACCACCTGTAAACCACTGGATTACATTGTCGTTGATACCGTTGATACAGCACAAATGTGTGTGGAATTCTTGAGACGCGAAAATTTGGGTATCGCTTCGTTCTTGGCACTTGACAAACAGGAGAAGCTTCTTCCTTACATGAAAAAACCCTCATCAACGTAAGTTTTCATTGCGACGCTTCCTTTCGATTTGTTATGCAGAATCGATGCGTGATTAAGAAAACTTGACTTTGGCCTTTTCAAGTCATTTATAATCATAAGTTTAAAATTCGATAATTAAAGGTTAAAAGGACTGGGTAAGAAATGTTTCGGTCCATTAAGTCGTATTAGTCTTTTTGTAGGTGCCTTATAAATACCATTCAGCATGTTTCTATTACATTTAACAGAAACTGATTTTCCGGTCGAAGTATTTGATTCTCAGAGTTGTAAATCATCAGATACTTCGCATTTAGCAGACAGTAGAAATTTTAGCAGTTTGTAATAACAAAATTAATTCAAAACGGAAATTTGTTCTGATTTTTTAACAAAAAGATTTTTCGCTTTTTGAGCAGTTTTTTCTTTAAAATCTCTGAGTTTACCCGGTGATAGCCCTCATGAATAAGCATGAAAACAGCAGATGTGCGCACTACGTATCTTTTACTGCAGTTGAGGGCTGACTTAGCCATAATTTATAGTCTGTTTTCTCCAATAGTTGATAGTTCCTGTAA